TTCTTTCAAACAATACATAAAAAGCAATTCAAATTGATATAAATTCACTTCCTTCACTACAATAATTAAGACGGTCTATAATTTATCAGTGAGCCTCATTTTTCTCATACATTATCAGCTTTATGTTTTATGTCATAACACCGACGACATGAGGAATTATACTGAAAATTATGAACGTAAAACAAACTATTTGCTAAAGTAGATAAGAGCTTTTAGCGTTAGAACACCAGTTGAAAATTCTAATGTTAAATACTTTGCATTTAAAAGTTTCCTACTAAATATAATATGCAAAACGACTTTATAATGTACTCCAACAAATGACATGCTTATGTAATTCCTTCTAACATAACTTACAAAATAAACTAAAGAAAAATTACTCAAATATCGGAACAAAAAACTTCGCCTCGAAATAAAAACTAATAATTAGTACCTAGACCATATGCACTGGATATCTTTTAACAAATTTTTATGTCCCAGGATTTGGTTTTAACACGTATTATACAAGATTAAATGCTTAATTATTACCTAAAGAATAGTGACAGACATAAAATAAACAAATAAGGACAAACTTACTACGCCATTGTTTCGTCTACAAAAAGTAAATAAGTCGTTCATGGGGCAAAGTGTGCGCATGTATAACAAAATCCCACAGGCGATATTAAGTCTGCCGCTTGACCAATTTAAATGTAAAATTAAAAATCAACTGATGATTAAAGAATATTATACCATTTCGGAATATCTCGACGACGCCAATGTGTGGAGTTAATACTGTTTGATACTCACGTAGGCTAGAATAAGACTATTATACCTCCTGTATATTATATTGTACCCTGATATTTTTGAAAAAGAGCAACTGTTGAGTTTCTTGCCGGTCTCTTCTCAACTGAAACCGCTTTCCGAACCGGTGGTACCTTACGAACCTATACACATAATCTTTGATGTAAAATTTGACGATTCATAAGAGCGCGCAAGCGTCTATTTGAATAAATATATTTTTGATTTTGATTTTGATTTTGTTGCACATAAAATGCACTATCGTTCGAGTGGTTAACAGTTTTCGCAAAGCATATCACTGAAACGCTTTAGAGTGCTTGCGGTGTATTATTATTGCGTCAGACACTTCCATTTACTGTGGTTGTTACAGGGCCACGCATCATCAGCTGTTTCACGAATTGGCAGACGCGTGCGGGTAAGTACCACAGCCTAACAGTAGACCGACAAAGTGGAATTATTAAACTTTCGCGTTTCGCCAGGTGAGTGAGGTAACCGGGACACCTTTTGACGACCCGACTGGTGTAGTGGGTAGTGTACCTGCCTCTTGCGCGAGAGTGTGTGGGTTCAATCCCCATTACTGGAAAAAATATTCTATGATGAATGAACATGGTGTTTTTCCAGTGTCTGGGTGTTTATATATTTATAATAATTATGTATTTATTTAAAATAGGAAAGTACGTTTATCACTTATCTAGTGCCTATAGTACAAGTGTTGCTTAGTTTAGGACTAGAGAATGTGTCCTAAATATTTATTTATTTATTTTAAAGGTTGTCAACGCTTCTGCAAGCATAGGATGCTGCAGATGTCAATTGGCGGCGGTATTCACTTAAAATCGGATGAACAAACGAGCTGGTGAGATAATGAAATGTCCCACCCTTATAGAGAGATATTCTAAATTGGGTAGCGTTTGTCAATGCCATTTCAGACCTCACTCGACAGCCGCGTTACCCTCACTGTACTCCCGCCCGCATAGAAGTAGAATATGCTAATACAACCTTATACGAATAAAGGGTTGCCTCAAGCTACGTAGTGAGCCGCATGAATGATTGCACCCACGCTATGTTAGCAAAGGGTCCTGCCATAATCCCTCCCCTCTGCTTAGTGCATGAATTAACATCAAAGTAAAACGGCCAGATCAACACGAGCTCGCCGTAAAGACGGACAGAAACGGTCTGCGATTATTACTACGCGAAGAGTTAAAAGGAAATTTACAACGTGTAATTATATCATGATAAAGAAACGGCAGAAACGCAGAGCGTGTCATATATACATCCACAGAATTGAGTATCTGTCCTTAAAACTTTCATTTTTTTTTTCAAAACCGCCCGCAAAAATCCCTATGATGAGAGTATATGATATTAAAAAAAACGTTTTTAAATTTTCTCAACAAACTTCCTTTCTCAACAAACCATATAACTGATATACGGGTTTTGTTTTAATTTGAATATTCGGCGTTTCGAAGTCACCCTGTAAAGAGCGCGAAACATAATGATATTTAAATAAAAATTAATTGAGAAAGGATCTCTAAATTAGTTTTATTTAACAATGTACAGTATTCGCGCAAACTGAATAAATCGTTATAATTTAAATATTTAATAATAGAGAACACTAAAATTTTGTGAGTGATAAATGAATTAATTCACAAAAAGCGGATGGAACACAAAAGGCCTGGTCAATGGATAATTTAATTTACACACAATACGTAACATGTATATGGATTCGCTTCAACTTCGAGCGCCTCTACGCCTCGAGGGCTCAGGTGTTGCTTTTAGTTAGCGAGCCGGCTACGCATGACAAACTTCCATGTCATCCACATACCTTTACTATGTAAATAACTACACTGTTGTGTACATCTGACATAATATTAGCTCTAATTTTTTTATGTGAAAAGTTGCCAGGCGAGCAGGCGGTTCATCTAATGCTAAGTGAATACCGCCGCCCATAGACATGTACCACACCCGAGGGTCCAGATGCGTTGACAAGTTTTTGAAAATTGGGCTCCGGCTACCTCAGTCACCAGACGAAACGCGAAAGTATTATACTTCCACTTCACACCGGTCTTCTGTGAGGTCGTAGTACTTACCCACGCAACAGCCGAGGCTGCTCAGTACAGACAAGTTGCCTAAGAGTGAAAATAGAATCAATAGAAAACTCCTTTCTCAACAAACCATTATTCTAACCGCAACGGCAATAACTTTTTATATTGATCGCAACCTACCAAACGAGTCTATTACGAAGCTATTAACTCCCACAACAATGTTCGATATCACGAGAACGGCGTTTAATAATCAAACGATACTGATGTGCTACGGAAAATAAAATGAATATGAAATTTTAAAAGAAACACAAATTTCCAAAAACTAGCAATTTACTAAATGATGTAATAAACGGAAAACCGAGCAACATGGTATGAGACCAACGTAAGAAGTCCATAATCGCACCGTTTCCCAACGAGGCGGTAATAAAGTGAAATGAAACAATAGTGTTGTATATAAAAAACAAGTTATTTATAAAGCTGCCCGTGCACTAGGGTGGGCGCGGTGGCGACATCACTCTATTTGTCTCGGGAAGCGCGGCTGCCCACTTCGCGTCGCCTCCACGCAGTTTGCGCCGAGGATTTTATCGCTTTCTCGTCTTAGGGTTGTTACCGTCTTATTTTACAAGGGTGGACTTAAGGACTTTAAATACATTTCCACGTTGCTGATTAAATACTCCTTTTGCTTGGAAATAGTAAGGTCTGTTTTGTTAGACCGATATTACATTTAAAATTAATCATCAACAGCATCATCATTTGAGCCTGTTTGAGTCCACTGTTGAACATAGAACTCTAGGGGAGTTCTATCAAACTGTCATGAAGCATCAATAAAGGCAAAAATATTAAAACATTTAATGGAGATCAATCATAGATACCTGTGACAACAAGAATAATGTCGACTAGTTGATTATTAATACGTCGTCAAAGTATTAATAAGCAGCGACATTACACTAATTGTCATATTTATTGTACCTATACTATTAAATGACAAGTTATGACAGTCAAGATAAGCACATTACTTTATTGATACTTGTGCTGCCAGTTAAACTTAATATTGAAGCTTAAATTATCTAAGTGAAGTATTAAATGTTAGACATACTGACGCTAATAAATTGAGAAAAAATGTCACAACCGATATGATTTTATCCGAAAAGGATAAGCAAAATAGAAATACTTAGAATTTATACAAAAAAATCGAAATGACTAGCATGACTACAGTTATAGTAATAAAGTTAAAGACAGTCTTAGATTTAAAATTTGTAATCGTATCAAACGTAAGCATATTCAAATATGAAACCATTTTGAGTAACATCCTCTAACTCTGTTCCGAAGTGACATTACGTCAGACCACGGACCTTCAGTCAAGTCTGACTTCAGATTTCCGGCAAAGGCCATCAAATGGTCTTTCCCATTCGGGAATAAGATCTGAAATATACCGTTCGAAGAATGATATATAAGGCGGTGTTCGGTGAACCATCGTCGCGAAGAAAATTCCCTTTTATTGTGTTAGCGAATGCTTATTGTATATCGGAACGTTTCTCCCATTGTTGCGGCTTGGAGGGCGCTCCTCTTCGGTTTTACCTTACAATTGTTCGATGATAAATCGCTAAAGCGTTACATTGAATCCTCGAACTAGTAAAGGCTGCGATACAATTCCAGATTCCACCGTGGAATCATTTACAGAAACCGGAAATTAATTAATAGTAGTAAGTTGGTTAAGGGAAACAATTTAGAGCGTTTTATTTGCGTATTTTATTTAACTCTAACCTAATGCTGTTTATTTGTACAACTTATATTCGATAAAATATATAGCAAAAAAGGGACGAAAAGTTTTTCGGCGTTTGTTTGTATATTCTTTATTGTACTAAAAGTTTACAAAGGCGAACCTAATGCTAAATAGCATTTTCTTCTAGTTAACCTTTGGTGGGTTGAGAGCAGTTACGGGTAGTAACGCTAAAATGACATAGAAGCCGTTGCGGGAATCGAACGCAGATGTTTTAACAACTAAACGGCTGATTGCCACAAAATGAATAATAGTCAAGTACTAGTCAGTTTATACTGAAAAAATCAATACCTAAGAAAACATACGAGCAAATAATAATTGTAAATGTAAGAACCCCAACACCATAGTTACATGACCCTAGACCATAGAAAATACTAGAGCGATCTAAACAAAATCCGTAAGAATTATATTAATGAAGTACCCACCTCCTCCTCGGTGGTGGCGGTGTTGACGGAGTCCATGCTCTGGCACAGTGCGAGCTCCATGTTCTTGTGCTGCGGCGAGTTGGCACGCGGCGAAGACTGCTGCGGCGACACAAGTGCACCCTGCGTTGCTCCTGTCTGCTGCGTGGACGCGCCGCCTGTGGAGGACGGGCTCTGAGCCGCTTGGAGCCCCTGACCCTGCAAACTCTGCGCCTGCAAACTCTGCGCTGCCTGGAGGCTCTGCTGCGCCTGCAGATTCTGCAGCGACTGGTGGGCTAGCGTGAGCTGATGCTGCTGCACGATACTCTGCTGCACGATGCTCTGCTGCACCTTGATGTGCTGGTGCACGGCGAGTTGGTGTATCGGGTGCAGGGGGCCGGGCGGGGCGGGGTACGGGGGGGAGAGCCGCTGGCGCTTCACCTGCGCACTCTGAAGCGCTTCGTGCAGCCTCTTCACCGGTAGGGGGCTCTGGCCGAGGTTATCCACGACTGTGGCGGGGCGTGCTAGCCGAGTCGCGCGACTCCGGCGAGCACCGACTGTTGCGACAGGCGATTTAGCACTCGCGACGCGACGTGCCACCGATATCGACGCACCAACGACCGGCGCGTGACGACGCTCGTTAGGTACCCTACGGCGCTCTAATTGACTTAACAATTGTTATTGTTAATATAATCGTTTTTACAACGCCTGGAGGCGAATGTTTTTATTTTACGAATTTGATCGCTTCGGCGCTTTTGTTCTCATTCGTATTCGTCAACTTTAACGCTCAGCGATCGATCCTGAAACGAAAGAGAGAATACGTTAATTACTAAACTTTATCTCTACCTAATTTTAGTATTTAATTACACAAATTTATAACTTAAATCACTTTGCGTCAACTTTAAAATTAAAAATGGTGGAAATATAATAGCTGTTTGACCAAGAAAAGGATATTCATGATGATGATTGATTAAATTTTTCCCCATACAATTGTAAACACTTCTCAAATCACTTAATGAAGTTAATTCTGTCATGATTAGGCTGACCAAAACAAAGGTCGTGTTAATGAGTTTTTCCTTGAAACCGATTTTAAAAATAAAGATTTTGAAAACGTACGAGAAATCTATGCCCCCTATGCCCCGAAGCCTTATATATATCAAAGGGTATTTATTGAATTTTTGACAAAAAAGTTATCCCTCATACGAGATCAAAACAATAAGTCAACTGGCAAGGTGGCAACGCATCTGCAAATGTCCACGGGCCACGGTTATCACATCATATGAACCGCTTTCTCGCTTGCCACTTAGTCACAAAAAAAAGTAGACGTTAAAGTAGTAGGCATCCACCATCCTAACATATTGACCCCAAGAGGTAGGCGTCAAGGATATAATCTTAACTCAATATTGAATTTAGTAGTAACGAGCTTATTGTATAATTTTTAATACATATAATATGAGTATGTATATCGGTACAACATTTATTACTTCTAATACATTAAACTAGGCTGCTAAAATAATATCTACATGCAACTCTATAATTTTGATTTTTAAACCTAAAAAAATAATTTTAAAATTATCTGTGCAGAAAATAGGCACTCATGTAGGTGTTTGAACTGACCGCTATTAAAAACTGTTAGTCATCTTATATACTGGAAGCGTCCAAATTAGATTACAAGGTGGATGACATCACGAATTCGAGATCGCCAATTTATTGCGTGCTAGCTGCAGTTAATTCGTTAAACAAGAGTAATGTAAGAAAATGTTGTTCAAGGCGTGCCTATTTGAAATCCTGCTACATCATCGTACTAGAAATTATGTGTTTAACGACCAATTTTCAAACCAATAACACTGAACAATTTTAATACATTAGATCAACAAATATATTCGTTACAAAATCTTCATAGCTGAATCTTTATACTTAGTATCCATTACTTGTGTATGTACCTACATGTTTATTATGAGAGTAATTAGATGCTCAATTCCCCAACTTTGTTTTAATCTAAATGCACGCAAATTACAACGAAATAATCCAACGGGTGCGAAATGAAACCGCCTAAAGGCAATTTGACCCTGTGTTTTACTCGCGTGTAGGATTAAGTGAATAATACTCACAGATGCCACACATGCACGCTTACAAAGACGTCTAAGAGGCTTGTTATGGCGTTACCACGAAAATTCACTCGAAAGCACGCCGGCCTCAACTGTATGGATGTATGTAAAGTTAAAGATGGTACACTCAATACATTCAAGATAATAGTGTGGTAACGTTACATATGTTAAGTCGTTCACGGTTAAATTTGAAAATAAATCCACCCATATAAAGACTATAGTTAATTAAAAATCAAAATTGATAAAGGTTCCAAGTAGCATATTAAGATTTTAGAGAAATGAGAATTGGAGCTATATAAAGCTATATTTTCATATCATACCATTGGATGTAGTGTAAAACCTTCAATTTTCCGTACAAAATAGTCTAAAACTTTATCCATAGGTACAAGAAGAGATTTTTACTAACGTTGTATTTAAAATGCCACAATTAATTGAAAATGTAAATATTAAAAACAAATAATGTTCAACGAGAACAGTCCATAGATTAACAAATTCGCATCACAAAAACTCTAAAATGATCCAATTACACACATCGCAGCTAAATTCTGAATATAAGGCTGGAGAAAGAGTTTTTAATAAACTTTATTAACTAAAGTATGTAGGTGCCATTTTGTTCGATAAGTTTTTGCCATCTTGTAGGTAGGGAAATGATACCATTGCTATAGATATTCTGGGGCTTCTGATCAAAAAACCGCGACAAGTGGTTTTGGCAGTCCTCTCGTGATGTTAACCTGACACTCTCTAAAGAATTCTGAAGAGACCGAAACAAGTGGAAATCTGAAGGTGCAAGTTATGGACTATACGGTGGATGCATTAACACTTCCTAGTCAATCTCTCTTAATTTTTGCTGAGTGGGTAAAGATGAGGTCTATCGTTATCATGATGAAAAACCACACCACTTCTGGTGATTAATTCCGGCCGCTTTCTCTCAACTTCTTGCTTTAATCTCATCAGTTGTTCGCAGTAGAGTTCCAAATCGATGGTCCTGCCTGGCGGTAACAGCTTATAATGAATAATGCCCGTCCAATCCCACCATACACACAGCATTACCTTGTTGCGAGATAACCCGGGTTTCGCCCGAGTTTGTGTAAACTGACCAGCCTTTGACCACGACCTTTTTCGCACGTTCTTGTCGCACGTGATCCACTTTTCATCACCAGTTATCATGTTTTTCAAAAATGGTTCGGTTTCATTACGTCGTAATAAAGAATCATGAATGAGTACACGGTTCATTAGATTTCTTTCAGAGAGCTCATAAGGCACCCAAATATCGAGCTTTTTTGTGTACCCAGCTTTTTTCAAATACGCCAAAACTGTTTTGTGGTCAGTTCCCAGTTCTTCAGCTACATTGTAAATACTGATATGCCAATCTTGCTCCACTTTTTCAAAAATGGCATCCATTTTATCCGTAACAGGGCCTCCAGAGCGAGGTGCATCTTTGACGTCAAAATTTCGGGTTTGAAAATGCTTAAACCAAATTTGTGCTACTCTCACAGACACTGCACTAGGTCCATTATCATTACATTTTTTTGCGGCTCGAGTTTTTACCTTTTGTGAGTAGTAAAATTTTAAAATGTATCGAATTTCTGCATTAGGAAAACTCATCTTAACAGTAAGAAAAACAAATGAAAATCACACATTTTCCTAATTTGAATTTGGAATTGTCTTTTTAAAATTTAAAATTTCTTAAAATACCAAAACCAGTCAGATTCAAATGGTATAGCCATAGAAATTATGTTATAAGTTCATACATATTATTTGCAAAAATAATTTTTCCCCAACCTAATAATAAAAATTTGTACGAGACAAGTCTGCACTCTTCTTCCTATAAAATACAAGGTCGTTAGTGTTACCAGCTGAGGCATTGTACAACGAATTTCTTTTTACTTATTGGCACATTCTTGACCTTTCTCAAGGATATGTATAAAGCACAATGACAAGGATAAAAACTTGACATACTCAACACTTCGCTACGACTAGCTTATGATTTCAAATTCTCAAAGAAGTGCGAAACATCAAAGTGTAAAAACTTTTAAAGTATTCTCTTTGAGCTTTTATTGAATATATGCAATAAATATCAATTTTGTTATTAGTGTTATAGTAAGGTTATACTAACACGGATATTTTCGTTATTTTTTATTAATTCAATTGGAGTCCCCAACACAGCTAGATTTAATCGATTTTCCAACGCGATAAAATCAGTCGCTATAAAATGAGAAACTCGGGCCGTCATTCTTCGAGTAAGCACAGAGCTATAGAGACAAAATTTTATAACGGCTCGACATTTGTGGTTACTGGTTGGCACTTGCATGCCCGTGAGACATGCGGGATTATGCACCCATATATACATAAGGGATACAGTGCATTCGTCTTGTTTCAAACCCCTCAAGCGTTAGTTCTCTCATTATATAAAGATTAAATGTAACACATCACAGCAAAATAAATTCGAAAAGTAATATGGGTTATTCATAAAACAATAGCTGGTAAAAGCGACGCATATTTTTGTTACTACAAGATAAAGTAAGACTTTTCTTTTGTATTTGTTTAGACGGCAGCCAAATCTCAACCTTTTCTATCCTGTAATCCGACGTTAAGCAAGCATGATAAGATCCGAGCAAGGTATCAGTTTCAGCTTGACATGGACGATTACAAAATATTCGCAAAGCAACTATACACTACTTCACTACATTTTGGGTTTCTTAACCGCAACACAAAACTTTTTGGACTATACTTCGATGCTGAGATATTTTGCGACACTACACTGCTATAAAGCCGTATAAAAATGTTGCCAAAAGATATGTAAGTCAACTAATAAGCTTGGTGTTATCGATGAACGTGTTTAAGAATAAAAAGAAAATATTCCATAAAAGAGAATGTGTTAGTGGAGTACACTTTTACTGGAGATGAATACAAAGCAAAGAATTGAACAACGTTGATATCATCGGTGCCTCATTCCTTAATTAATTTGAATATACATAAAAGTAAAGTGACAACCTATACATAATGTGTCCCAATTCTTGACAAAGGCGTCTGTACAAAGGGTATAAGGGAATAGTCCGCCACGCGACACAATTGGACTCTGGACTGGTGTGGAGCTAGATATACACGTATAACACTTAATACACGTGTACATACGAGAAATCTGAAGATTTATTCATTCTTACATATTTTAAAAAAGCTACAATAGAAAATGTACCATGTGTCTCAGGCTTAGGACCTATAATCGCGTCTACACATAACGGCTAGCCACAAAATGTATTCACAGTCATTACGCAGGAGTAATTTTCCTGTCCCACGGCGGACAATAATCGTAGCAAAAAAATGCAATAGACAAGAGCTGTGCACAACGACTTCTCGTTCTGGTTAAACGCGCCACAAACGCATGTAACACTATTTGGGCGTTTCAAGGTCGTGTCTTTTTGTTCCATAGCGTGACTAAGTTGTTTACTAAAAAAAAACTTGTGAGCCAGTCTGACTGCGACGGTAGAAATATCAACGTTAATAAATTTTATCACACTTTGAAAACTTTGTTGCGTGAAATGACTTCTTTTTGATGATTATAACTAAAATAACTGCCGCCCAGACGCGATTTTAAACATAGCGAATAGCAGTATCCATACTAACGTGATAAGCATGTTACAGTTACTGAAGTTTTATTTATATAAACCCTAATCCTCATATTATAAACAGTT